ATAGGAACCATTCGTGCTAGTCCACCCTCCCACCCATCCCACCCCAGGGGAGGACATCCATCACACAGTAATCTCGTGGGTGGTAAATTAACGTCTCCTACCCCTAACCCTGCAGGAGACGGGACCTCCATTTATTCGTCCCTATCCGAGAAGACTAGAATATCTAACCATTTCTTGATGTTATAGAAAGGTAGCAAATTTTTCTCAATTATTTTAAGACCCTGAGTGTTGGTTCGGCTGTTGGTCCAGCTGTTTTTCTCGTTGCTAGCGGTTTCTCAGTTTTACAAAATATTGCAAGTTTAATTACCTCTTCCTCTACCCCTCTTAGTTTAAGTTTCACATTATCACCAGCCACTGCTCCACTTCTTTCTTCTTCATCAAATATGATTCCTAACACCTCCACAGAAACCTGTATCATTGAGATAGGTTGAGGCAACAACATCACAATCTGAACATCAAAGTATCTTGATTCAAAATGATGATTCCCTAGAAGTGTGCTTCAAAAATGAACTAATCCTGTTTGCCAGATTTCTCTTTTCAGCTATTTATATATTGGTACCCCAGGTTAGAAAAGAAAAAATTCAGAGCATCATTATTTCATCATAAAAAAAACACACATAGAGTTTATCATACAAATAAAAGAAACAAGAATTTTATCACAAAAGCAAAGAATGCCCAGAAAAACAAACAAACAAACAAAAAAAAATTTGTCACCTTGTTGGGCATCAAGAGTAGTGAATCTCCTTTATTAAGTTTTCCAGATTCTACTTTACCAAGAACCACAGTTCCCATGTCCTGAAGTCATAATCAGCAAAATAATTAAAACATCGATATACTAATAACCAGGTAAATAAAACCCTAAAGATGGCTGGAGCAGCTAACAAAGTGACTCACATTTACTAGCAACCACACAAAAACCTCAACAAAGTCAACAAGATTTGAATTCCTTTGCGTTCATTCTTTATGAGCAATAATTTAACTACATGAGAAGGACTCACATGATAAAACTGATGAATTTGATTACCTTGTATCTCTCTGAAATAGGTATTCTGAGTGGTCCATCAACAGACCGTGTTAATGATGGTAATTCATCAATATATTCCAAGAAAGATTTGCCACTGCAATACAAATTGCATCAAAAGTCAGTAGATGCATTTTACCATGTATCCCATAAAAAGTTATTCCATAACACTATGAAAAGTTTAGAAAACTTTATGTGATAATTAAAGTAAAGCTCGGAATGAGTGCCTAACAAAACTGACAGGTATTTTTGTTTACCTGAACCAATTGCATTCTGCAGGATCAAGCCTTTTGCGAAGATTAGCACCTGTCAATCCTGAGCAAGGCATGTAATGGACATCTGTGAAAGAACACAAGTGTCGACTCAACATAAGAAGAAAACATGCGTAAAATTGTTACTAACAAGGAAAATATTCTTGTAGGATAATATGATTTTGAGATAATTACAATTTACCTGTCTTTGGGTTAAAACCAACTTTCTTAAGGAATGGAGTCAGCTTCGTTTGGATTTCTTCATACCTTCAAGATGTGCAAGAAGCAGTTAGTAAGGGCAAACTTCCCCAAAGTTTTATCTTTAAATAAAATGAAATTATGCTTGGGTGGGTTTGAAAAGACCACAAATGATTACAGCATTCCAAAAATCAGAGGTACCAACCTTCCTTGATCCCATTCCACGGTGGGATCATCCATTTTATTGACAAGAACAACCAAATGTTTTACCCCCGCTGTTTTGGCCAACATGGCATGCTCTCTGAGTGAAACCAAGAAATAACTGTTATACTCGTCAGGGAACAAAGTTTAAGAAAGAATGGAAAAAAAAAAAGACAACACAGATGACAGTCTCAGTAAAGAGGAAGGAGGCTGTGAAGTACTAAGCCATCATAACCACAACTTTACGGTAAACATTTACCTTAGAAAGTGTTTTCTCCTCTAGAGTCACGCGTGTGAGACTAAGAAAAACTTCTGAGTCCCTATGAGGAATCAAACCTAAAAGATGTTTGATAAGATTACCCACCAGTTCAAAACATTTACCTTGTTTGACCTCCTTTTTCAAAACCAGTTTCAAACTCTCCTTTTCTGGCAGAGATGACCTAAGATGACAAAAATTTTAAACAGAAATTAATCAGGTAGTCTTATATCTATTAAACAACAACAAACATATGAAACATATGTGTGAACTGTGGTTATGAGACGTATATGAGAACGATCCTTCGCAGTAAAGCACTATTTGAGCAATAGTGAAAATCAGACCTGAAAAAAATTTCAGGCCTGTACGGGATTCGAACCACTGACCTCTGCGATACTAGTGCAGCGCTCTACCAATTGAGCTAACAAGCCAACTGGGAGCAGGCCATCAAATTAATTCGATATAAACCCGTAGTATATCTATTAAACAACAACAAACATATGAAACATATGTGTGAACTGCGGTTATGAGACGTATATCAGAACGATCCTTCGCAGTAAAGCACTATTTGAGCAATAGTGAAAATCAGACCTGAAAAAAATTTCAGGCCTGTACGGGATTCGAACCACTGACCTCTGCGATACTAGTGCAGCGCTCTACCAATTGAGCTAACAAGCCAACTGGGAGCAGGCCATCAAATTAATTCGATGCACTAGTATCGCAGAGGTCAGTGGTTCGAATCCCGTACAGGCCTGAAATTTTTTTCAGGTCTGATTTTCACTATTGCTCAAATAGTGCTTTACTGCGAAGGATCGTTCTCATATACGTCTCATAACCGCAGTTCACACATATGTTTCATATGTTTGTTGTTGTTTGATTTATCATCTACGGGTTTATATCGAATTAATTTGATGGCCTGCTCCCAGTTGGCTTGTTAGCTCAATTGGTAGAGCGCTGCACTAGTATCGCAGAGGTCAGTGGTTCGAATCCCGTACAGGCCTGAAATTTTTTTCAGGTCTGATTTTCACTATTGCTCAAATAGTGCTTTACTGCGAAGGATCGTTCTCATATACTTATATCTATTTTAAAAGATTGACCCAAATCTGATTGTATACTGGCATGTACAGTTCGTTTCTTACCAGTCAATGACATTATGTCAAAAATATTCAAACTTAAAAGAAATCATGAGAAACAGTGCAGCAGGATCACTGAAGGTTAATATCTGTGCCAGATTTCACACCCTTTAGGGATTTTACAGCAGCTTCCTCTTACTTGTGTTTTATACCAAGCATTTCATTGAACATTTTCAACAAATTCATTCTGATCTTAAAAGATGGGAAAGATGTTTGGGCAGAGTACCCACCAGTACTCCAAGATCAGCCTGTGCTGCTCCGCTGATCATATTTGGAACAAAGCTCTTGTGTCCTGGTGCATCCAGTAATGTGAAATGTTTGTTTGGTGTGTCAAATGCAGCTCTACCTACTTCAACTGTTTTACCCTAAAAAATAGCATCAAAGGTGAACATTCATGAACCTATAAATAGTAAACCAACAGTTTGATGCTAACTGCTGATTCACAGTTTCATAATCCCTTCCACTTCCAGGGGTGATATAAAAGAATTCATCCTAAACAACACATTTTCAGCCAGAGATGTGACCATGGCTCAAATTACCTTAGTAATTTTTTAAGCCCCGCATTCTAACCTATAGTTTACGTAACAGAGGCTATAATGTTGAACAGAAATCTTGCAGTACTCAATTCATGCACAACTCTTTTTCACATATTATTTCTTGAATTTGGAATCAGTTATCTTTGTCTACAAAGTCTGCTGAAAATGTGTCAATTTTTTGCAAGCTGGATTTTTTCAGTTGCCAATGCAACAATTGTTCAAATTCATTTGATATTCATCCTTTCTAACGATTATTCTCAGCATCTTTCACCACTACATAAATTGCATCAACTCATTACATAATGATTATATATTATATTTATTATCGTATAACCTTTTTTTTAATATTGTATATATATAATGCTTTATATATTTTCTCTGTCAATCACTTTTGTTATGAGCCTCTGGCTTGGGAAATCTGGACAACCACTCCCTGTGTAATTGACTTTAAATAAATTTATTTACCAATTACCAATGTTGTCAGAGATGTATGACACACAGTGCAGAAAATTGACACTGACACCCTGGGGGTAAAATGGTCATTACACCATATCCTGGAATACCAATAACTGTTGCGAAATTGTTAGCACCCTTAAAGAAGTGCCTACATTATTTTGCTTATTACAAAATGGGGATCCCACTGGGCAAAGAAAATCTTCCAATAGTTCATGTCACAAAATTCAAATGTTCCTGGAGGTAAGGGAGGATTATTTCAAGGAATTACGTCTGTTTCACTAATGAATGATCCAGGTTTAAGAAGATACCGCTTCATATGCTACAGTGTTCGGCGTATACACTCAGTGTTGCCATACCTTATCTCTCTCTTCTTGGTTTGTGTCCAATGCCCACGATAAGTACCTACATCAATGTAAGTATTATTATGTACCAGAGCTGGACAAAAATGATGTCCAACAGCCAAGGGCTAGTGGGACAACTTTCTGGGATACTCTTTTGTTTTATCTAGTAATCAAGTACTGTTGAGCAGTCAAATAGTTAGAAAAAATTGATGTTAAATAGAAGAAAGAAGCAAAAAGCTATCGGGGATAACTCCAGATATTAAGTCTCAACCTTTGAAATCATTTTTGATGAAGACAAATTTGACAATCATTTGTGTGTAAGACACAGTCAATCTACTGGCTGTTATTTAAATGTCCCAGCCTGTAGAACCGGCAATTTTCAAGCTTTGTGTTTGGTTTGTACAGTTACATTATGGAAAATTGTTCGTAACATAGAAAAAATTCTCTCTAGCCCTGGAATTGATTACGAGAATTCTAAACCAAAAACCCTGATACTTAACTAACCATGTTTCTCTGTTCTTCTCCTTTGCCTCTCTTTCATACTTTTCCAGTGTTCTTTTGTCAACCTGTCCTGTCAGGTACCTACCAGAGGCACAACACAATCATTAAGTATTTTCAATTGTCATTATTAAATGATACTTCACTGATTTCATTTTCAAACTGCCCAATGTTCAACATTTTTAGTTGACAACAGCACAAAAACAAAAAGACAGGTTTCCACAAGGGCCATAACATTACCACTTGAGGTAATTTATCATTCTTAATAAATAACACCTCATCGATTTAGTGTTAAGTGGTGACAAATTGAATAACGGACATCTCCAATGTACAAAAAATACAAAAATAAATTAAAAGGAAGAAAAAACTGCGACAAGATAAAGAACAAAATTTGTGTCAAGAATGTTCCATCAAATCATTTGGTACAAAAATATTATAATTGTAATGATGCATTGCTCACGGTAGCCTGTTTACTTCTCTATGATTAAATCAAACTTACATTACATGTCCACCAATTGTTGATTTTCCAGCATCTGCAACAAAAAGGCTAGATCAATTGAACAGTCAGAGATTTATATCTTGGAATCTAAAGAATCCTCTGGAGTAACTTCAGTCAGTTATTGCTATGTCAACTCAAGAATCTGTTTGTTTTCATGTAAATGTACCTTATTTTAATTCATTCTGAAGAAACTACAATCACAACAACTGTCTCGTCCCTTGTCAAACTCTTTGACCCCTAAGGAGTCACCGGCATCTAATTTCTCCTTACAATCCAACATTAACAAGGGTTTCATTAAGGGCCAGGCACTCCGCAAATTGACTGGCTATAAGGACTCCTAGTTTGACCATCTAGAGGAGAGTTGATCCTGGAAAGAAGTTCAAGCAAAAAGGTTTTGCCTGCCTGTGAAACCCAGTTTCCCTCCTGCTGAAAGCATTAATGAAACCCCTGTATTACGGTAATGGGAATGAAGGAAATGATAACCAACTTGATTGTTAAACAAATTCTCCCAGTTAGCACTTGAGGAAATGCATAGACAACAGCAAGGAGAAGATACATTGATATCAGGGGTACAGGGTTAGGGAGTACATCTTTAACATGAAAAATAAAATAAGTTCTTTTGAAGTTCATACCAACATGGCCAATAAATATAATATTAATATGCTCTCTTTTGTCCTCGGGTTCTTCTGCAACTTCTTTCTTGACTTCTTTTTTTGCAGGTTTAACTTCTTCCTCTACTTCCTCTACCACCTCTGCTTCATCAGTTTCCTTGTTTTCTGATAAACAATGGTTACAAAATAAATCAATTTGATTTTAGGACATTCTCAATGTGACTTTTCTTGTTCAACCGTGAAAAATAAAAGTAAAAATAAAAGCATGACCAACAGCCAAAAGATTACCCATTACCCATATGACACTATGTTCAAGTCTCTAAAACATGCTTCTTTTGATTTCTCAATTCCTTTCCTCAGCCAACTCCATAATCCATATAAAATGAATTGATTAGTACTTTCACCTGCCACATATTGACATACGCTATAAACAGCTATTTTTATACCTCCATCGTCTACATTAGTTTCTGGTTTCACATCAGTTGGTTCTTTGTCTTCACCAGGAATGTTTCCTTCAATAAAATGAAAAAAGGTATTTAACTAAGATTACAAGACAGCTTTCCTTTTGTCAAAACTGATCAGTATGATTGCCCTGTCTTCACAAGGAACAGTCATTTTTCAGAACTGACAGAACTGGTTCAAAATCAGCTAAAAAGCCTAACTACCCTCCACCCCCCTTACTTCCCCCTGTTCCTTTTGAAAAAAACATTTCCTTTCATGCTTTTCCACAGACTACCTCTACATTGGGTTTAGGCAGTGGCTGGGCCCATTGCATAATATTCTTGGGCAAGATTGGGCTTCTCTTAATCAATAAGGAGCCTCTCTCTACCCAGAAGAATTAAAGGTCCCCAGCTACCTGTCATTTAAGCTGCAGAGGGAAGGGGAAGATGACAATACTTTGAGTAGCTTCATGCTTCTGAAATAAGGATATGCTCTAGCAGGAGAGGTCTTCTGGTTCATGAGCCTACATAATTATCCCTAGCTTCCATCCCCCATATTTTGCTCTGGAGATCAAAGTAGAGCCTTAATTAAAACATGCACCTGCTGTATGCTAAGTACCTTCATCTAAGAATTTGGAAACAACCTCTATACCTAGGGTATAAGAAAAGGGTAAAACTCTATTTTTAACTTTTTGAAAAATAGAGGGTGAAATACCAACTCTTTCACTATACTAGTTCCATTCACGATTTTGAAATGAATTTCAGTATAATAAATGGCACACACTTGTTTATGATTACACATTATAGAAAACATTAGATCAATTTATTAATTGTTTTTTCTACGATACTCACCCTTTGTGGTGTTTGAATTGCCATTTTTCTCAGCGATTTCCGACTGATCAACATCGCCATTTGTAGAAGGGGAAGCTGAACCAAAAAACAAACCAAAATAGCAATTACACATCATAAGTGTGAAACAACTTCCTTCAAAAAGTCATCAGTTCAAAACCGATACGAATTGAGAGTTTGTACACTCGTACTAATATTAATTAATGTGGTTTCTTAGGTTTACACAATGGTATTTGGCTCTATAATGGAAGAACGAAACAGGCTTTTCAATAAATTACATCGACCATCTTAGGATATAGGATCAGAGATGTAGAAAGAGAAATTACTCCAATCTGATCGTGAAAGGAAGGTATAATCTTGAACACGAGTGCACAGCAATACAATAATCTGAGAAAATTGACTTAGAAATTCACCGAGAAATCGTACGATCGTGGTAAAAGCATTCATCCAAAATGATGATAGGATAAGAATCAAGAAAGAGGAGAAGGCCTTACCATCAGTCGTAGCAGTTTTCATAAACGAAGGAACAAATGCCGGCGCATTGACGTTTGGCACGAAAGGTTTTGCGTTCACATTGAGTGAATGAAGTTGAGCACTCAAATCGCTTGTGCGTTCACTCATTTCTCCTGGGCCAGGATCGTCCAAAGAATCCCACGAATCTGGTGCGTTTGCGTCTGAATCCATCCCTTGACTGTGTTGTTTCAAAGATATTTCGATGGCTTGGTTATGAACAACTTAAGTTTTCTATATTATTTTTCTTCACTGATACTTTGGCCCACGAGAAATGGTGCAATTTCCACGCCGGTTCGTAGGGCATCGAGCATGCTTGAAAATACCGCTGGCGATCGGAGGCTCGTTTGTACCTGGCGCGCGTGTAAAGCGCGCGATAAGCGCGCGTGGCAGTGGTCAAGGTTTTTGCTTTTCCATATCCGTAAACCTTATCACTTTCACAGCCCCCTTACGGGATATTACGCAACGGCTTCTGGTACGGAAAGCATGTCAGGACATCCCCTAAGAAGACCGCTGGCAAAGGAGATGGTTGTAGAACTTCCAACTTCCGAACGGAAGGCAAATCTTTTGAGATGCACCCTGGATTAACAGTAAGTACCCGCAATGTTCAACAAAATAGTCTCTTCGATAAGAAAGGAAAAACGATTCAACAAGCTCCATATGCAAGATTTTATTACTGAAGACATCGTAACAGCTGAAAATATTACACAGTAATATATCTTAACTAACACCAACAACCTCAACATGATGACAGATTACCTGTTAAAAATCTACTCTTTTCCCTGTCGTACTAAGAGTTCTTACAAACTTTACTTAGTTGAAGCAAGCGGTAAATACCTTACGAAGTTTACTTTGTTTAGTGAGCCGTAAACACCTGATAAATATGATCTTATTCTCAGTGAGTATCACAATACCGTATGACGTCAAGCGGTCGAATGAAATACTAATTCAAGATGTTAAATGAATAGAGTATTCACTACTTAAAAAAAAAATGAGAATAAACCACCTTCGTAAGGTTTACTTTCTCTTCAGGCTACGAACGCGAATGGCAAGTGCTAAAATTTTCGCAGTAACACGTGCAGTTAATCATGAACTTCAAAATGAAACCGCTTCTCAATCAACCTGTCGTAAAATAAAAGCAAAATTAACCATAGTAGCGTAATTAGAGCGAATGAATAAGGAGAAAATAAAGAACTCTCACAAGGGAACTCTCTGATGCAAAAGAAAAGCGAATGACCTAGTAGGGATTTTCGTTAGGTTGGCATTCAATCCACATTCAATCAGCATTTAATCAGCCACGCAACTAAAGAGATTCGTGGGAACTATTACTAGAGCGAAGAAAAGCAAAACCTGGGAAATCCAGGATCATTCTATTGGCAATTACTCCATACGCTCTGGGTTTATTCAAGTACCAATGTACTATATTAATTTCTCGAACTTCGAAAGCGAGCCAATCAAAATACAATCCACATAATGTCACCAAAGAGTTAGAAAAATAAACTCATCACATTGGGTTTAATTAATTAATCAAATTAAAATGCGCCATTCCAATAAATAACGATTGGTACTACAAAACTTCTTATCTACACAAATCAACCAGAACCCCTCTTCCACCTAATGATCTCTTTAAAAAAATAAATCAAGGAACATTATAGTGCCTTACAGACGAAGAAATGGCCCTCTGAAAAAAGCAAACATTCCCTATCCCACGGTAATTGTTTTTTTACATTACTAATATACATTAAATAAAGTTTTGTTTAATTTATCAATAACGGTTCTTCTACATAAACATAGTATCAATATAATAATATTTTATGTAGCTTAAGTAAGTTGACCAATTATTTTTTCAAGTAGCTGGCCACGAAGTTTTGTCTGTCCCCCGATTTCAAATGTCGAGTTTCCCCAGACTTCCTCGTCCAGTTGGGGACGCGCACACCTTTCGTCACGGAGAAAAGTGGGAATGAGGATTGCCAGAATTTCTTGGCAACTATCTGTAACAAATTAATATCTTTTATCCTATGGACTCTTCGGATTGTTCATCTTCGTCATATTCTCTAAGTTCCTCTTGACTATGATCTACCATTCCTTTTAGTCGACTCAAGTGCTCATTTTCTACTCGCAGAAAATTCCATACGAATCGCCTGGAAAAAAAGAACACTTCACAATTAGTAATGCAACTAGATCGGGGCATATCAAAAGCTCTGGATCCGTGCGCAGTTTTGCGCAAAGAAATTATGAATTTTTCCACAATTTTTTTCTGCGAAACAATGTGAGTCATAACATTTTAGTGAACATAGTTTGGGGAAAAATAGACATCTTAAATTTTATTTGAGACACTCCTTTTTCAAGATTCTCTTGAAGTGTTAAACAAAATTTTACCAATTATGTCATGTCTTTTGAAGAACTAACGATTCTGTTCGCACGCCACATCATACAGGTAGCAGTTTTCTCTTGCAAACATTGCTCAGCTAAGCAACAAATGCTTTTAAGGTAACCCAAAAACCATCTCTTCTTGAGATCCCAGTACTTCCACTAAGTAACGCAACAAAAACAAACAGTGTTCTGCGCTTGTCACGTAACACTTCTCTCCGCGTGACGAGATCGAACAAAAGTTGCAAAGCAGGCTAGTTCTACTACTGACCTAAATACTTCCAACACCGCTAGTAAAGCTGTGAGGACTTCAGAATGAAACAGTCCTGCTTCGCCAACTGACACAGTCAGGACCCAGGACATGCGAAGAAAGAGATTGCTAACCAACGCGAAGTAATAAAACCCCTGCGGGAACAAGAAGGAAAAAAAAAACATTTATAAGGAAATTTTAATCTGAAAATATAACTACCTAGGACGCGAGTTCCACTTCTGGCCCATCTCCGGGGCTACAAGTTCACCTCAGCCCAAGGGGTGGAGTGTCGTACGAAATAATTAAATTTTTCTCCCTTCTTCAACCACAACTAAATTCTTCCCATACGATATTTAATCTTTTTATAAACATTCCTTCTCTGTTGTACAGACAAGCTTTGAAATCATCGAGAACACCTGTTACTCATTTTTTTCCAGTCCTTTTCCGCAAATTCCGAAGGTTATCCTAATTTCCGGAGCATGAGACGACCCAAGTAGGGATGGCCTTATGGGTATGACGTTCGTTTAGGCTTCTACTTACCAAGCGTTTGAAAAGTAACTTGGCTCTAAGATATCCGTGACTTGAATCCATTAGTCCCCAGTCCATTCTCACATCCCACGCGTATGTGTAACACGAACTGATGAACGCCGAGAAGATCCAAAACAGAAAGTAGAAATCCATCTGCTGTTTGCCTGTATTCTCTTTTGATAAAAAAGAAATGGTACGGTCATCTCTCGCGAGGAAGAAACTTACAACCAGACACGAGAGTTTCTACTAAAGCAAAAATATCGTCTTGGAGCAAGACTACAATGAACGTCAGGGAGACAGAAAAACAAAGACGTTTGGTAAGAAAACATACAAACAAACAAACAAACAAACAAAACGAGAACTAAAAGGCTTAAGGAGGAAGAAAAAGCACGCTAACTATACTTAACTAATTTTTAAGGTGCACAAAGAATGACGTAGCTCTTAAACGCCCGGTTAGATCAGTCTGAACTTTTGTCTGATGAAATTCTTCGGCGGCCACCGGAGGATATTTAGGAGAGAGTAAATGTCAACGAGATATTTTTATGCGTACCTCCTGTTCAGTTGGTTTAAAATCGTCAAAAAGCCCTTGTTACCGCACCCCTTTTTCTACATTTAGCTATTAAATTTCTTCATGAATGATACCTTTGTGCGTTGTCGCCACTGTCGAAAAGAATACCACGAAGAACGTGGTAGAGTATTTCCCAGCATTCGCAAGGTGGGGAAATTTCTGTTTTGTGTCATCGTATCTGCGCAGACTCTGTGCAAAGCGCCACCATGCGGGCAGACAAGCGATCAGCGGTCTCAGCCCATACAGTTTACTACCGCACTTGTTCCGGTCTATAGGAGAAATAAAACATCGAAGATTGTAATTGTCAATACCATTTGACAGTCTGATATGAGGGTTACAATATACGGGGGTAGAAGTCCTTGGGATGTGTTGCTGGCAGAGGTTTACTTCATGGATTTTTCTCGAAAAAGGGTTGGAAAAGAACGAACGGAATAGCAACGAAAAGTAACACCTCTTAACCCCATCCAGTTGACGTTTTGATCAAAGTATAAAATTAGCTTTATGCATTATTTATTTAACTTTTGATGGTCGTTAGAAGCGCAAGAAGTTTGGTAGACACGAACAGACCTCGAAGCGAACCGAGAAAAAAAAAACGCCGATAAGCCAACGGTAGATTGCGACAAACCCGACTACGACCCGAAGGAAGATGAAGTTACACGGAATGGTCTCAGTGGATTCCGACAAACCCGACCGCAACCCGACGGAAGACGATGATGCACAGATTACGAAAACCTCAGTAAGAAGAGAAACGGAGAAAAATGAATTTGCAATGTTTAGCTCACCTTGAACAGAATAATAATCAAGCGCGTAAAAACAAGACATGTACTCCATATCCAGAATAGCAACAACAAGACTGTTTAACTGATCTGCCAGCCAGAAGTCTGCAAAACCTACATGGTGAAAAGGTGCCGTCAAAACTCGCCACTGAAACGAAACAAAATAAAAAGCAAATTAAATTTGTTTTAATTTGCCAGAGTTAAATATAAAGAGCATAACCACAGTTTCTGAGCTATCAGAAAAAAAAATTCGTACGTGCCTACGTCCGAATATACTTTGACGAGGTCAACAAAATGTGTCAATGAGGATAAACTAACCTCTAACCTCGGATGCAAAAACACCCGAAGACACGCTGTAATGTGTGTTTTCGGTGATGGACATTTCTCAAACCAGTAAAACGTATTTTCTTCGCAGAATTTTCTGTTTTTCGCCTTTGGTATCCACTGTGATTTTCATCTTTTCCTTTTTCACATTACTTTTCGATTCAATCCCCAAAAAAGACTTTTTTTTTCTATATGTTTTTTTTTCAGTATGCTTTTCTTATTCCTCGACCTCATCAGTTTAAAAACGCGGATAACATCATTCCTTTAGCATGTTTAGGCCGTTCTACTGTTTGCGCGACATTTCTGACATTGTTCTTTTTCGGAAAATTTTTGCCGGTTTTCACGTTTGAAGTAGATCCCAAGGCCCCCTCCGTTATTCACGAGAACTGTAAGTTCAGAGATCAACGATGAGGCGAAACGAAGAACTCAGAATGAACGATTTTAGGAGAAAACTCGAAGGAATTAATTAACAAAGTTAGAGAGGAATGAACATATTACTTACTATTGCTCTAAGAAGCCAGAATCTCGCTTTCCTTAAACAAAAGTCAAGCGTGTTGATACCGAATATCAAAAAGAAACAGGCTAACGCCATCGGATGAAAATAACGCGGCAGTCCAAAATGTTCTGAAAACAAGAAAACCACAGCACTTGTTCCCCACAGGACGGCGAAGAACAACGACATCTAATGAGACAGAGAGAATACAGGCATCAACAAATGTCAACAAGAGTTTCTCAAAATATCCGAGAAAAGTAAGGTCTCATTTGGTGGACATTAGGACAATGAAAGCTGTAATTCTGTGACGAGAATGTACGACAAAATTGTTAACGCAGGGTTCAGCGTTGAGCAAAATTCCTATGCCGATGCGGAAAGCTTTGGTTGCGTAAAATGTTTAAATATTTGTACAAATAAAGACTTTAATACGATAAACTTTCAGCCACGAAAGTCCCTCTCGTTCATCCTGACTGATTTTAAATTCTGAGTGTGACAAAGAGCCAAAAATAATACTTGATGCGTGAATTACACAGAAAGGCTAAGTAACGTGAGAATTGAAATTTTCCTTTTTTAACTCGTGATACATGAAATACTGTTTATAGTACGCTTGACGAATGAAGTTTACTTAAGATTCGTGCACGGAACGGGATCAGAACCCCCACCCCCCCGGTTTTGCGAAAAATCGTCGCCTGAAGGTAACATCCAAACTGTTACAATGTCAAATAGAGAGTTTGCTCCTTGAATCGACAGGGGGGGTGAAATCGTGTTATAGAAAGGGGGGAGGAGGTTTAAAAAGGTTATAAGTACACCTACAGCAATCTTACCTCTAACATTCGCAGAGGGCAAAGACTGTTCTTCAAGTCACAGATATGTGCAGGGTTAATGCCCACTGATTTCCAGCCGTATAAATTGATTCCAAAGAAAAATAATTCTAGTACGAACAGAAACATTCCTCTATACATGCGAAACGCAGGTTGCCATTGGATATCATTGTCCGCCCGAATTGCTGAAAAAAAAAAAACGTAATTAAAATGTCAGGTGACAGTCATTATTTTGCTATTTCAACATTATCATCTTTTTGCTGCGTTGGTAACAACTGCGACGAAGCTTGATAAAATATATCAAGGGGGGGTGGGTGATTTCTGGTCATCAAGAAATTTTTTGTAGTAATCTGCTGTGCAGGATATTTTTTCCGTTCTAAATGCTCTTTTTCCTCTGTTACATTTGGGCTGCATGAAATTTTTATCTTCCAACAAGCGCTGCACGAAATTTGTTTTCAAAATCTCCCACCCCC